ATTTACAATTCACCTTGAAGTTGATATCAGTACCTTTCAATGTGAAGTCTTGTCATCCACCTCCAGTTCACAGTCTTATGTGTATATATCATGGGCCCCAGGCCAGACTACAAAATGGAAGATCTAGGGAGGCAGGGACGGTGTCTTTTTTTGTGTCAGTGTTCTACATGGTACATAGGATGTGGCAGTTCTTTGATAGATACTGTGGATTGAATACTTCCTTCGTACATTCAACAAACACACACCCAAGGGTCTTTGTACCTTCTCAAAATACAGTTGTAGGAGAACTGTGTTTCTGTGTCCATATTGTTCATCCCCAACCCACTCCTTGCTTCCCTTACCTACATATAATGTCAGTTCCCACAAATCTTACAAAAACACACACAATCCCAGATATATCTGTAGTCATATTTATTATATATATGCATTAGAACGTCAATCAATGCTTATTGAATGACTAATTAGCAAGACAAACAAATGAAAGAAAAAATGAATTAATGAATAAATAATATAAATATTAGTTGAGTGTGCTCATGGAGATGTAGAAGTACACCTTTTCAGCAAAAGTAAATGTTTATTCTCTCAGCTTTGGCTTGAGTGAAATTTGTGGTGTGGCTATCGATGTCATGGCAGTTTGAACACTCATATGCCAGGCTCATGAAGTCTTTCTAGGAGCATATTTTTAAAAAATAAATGGTCTATATTTAGGGATAAATGATAACCAAAAAGAGAGGTTGGAAAAATAATTGTTTCTGCAGATACAGACCTTCCATTTGACACCCCCTTCTCGACCTGAGGCCAGTCTCCACTCTGATTGTTGACTGAGAGGGCTCCATGTACTCCCCAAGGGCTCGTGTAAAGAGGCACTACATATTTTGAATCACTATTAGTCCCCTGTGTGCAGCCCGATTATACTGCAGAAAGTTTTACGATGAAGAGCTCACACTAAATGGAACTTTTCCAAATTGACGGCCTTATTATAATAATTTCTTTAAAAAGAATTTCCTAGGTACTTTACCAAAATTTAGTGTAAAAATTCTAAGTCTGTTATTTACTCATAAGTCTAATAACTTAGAATAAAAAGAAAGACTTTTATAAGACTGTTATTCAAACGCAGATCAGAAAAAAAGATCCTAGGTACAGATAATGAAAATTATCTCAAAATACACTCTTCATCTCACAGAGGCTTAATAAAATAAATGATGTTCAAGAACATAGAAATATGAATGTCATATTGTTTGCAACCTTCATTTCTAACTATTGGTTTTCTTTGGCTTCATGGATCTCCCCAGGAATAAATATGAGCAGGTGCAAAGTAAAAGAAAGTCTATTTATAAACTCCAGGGGATGCCATGTGATAGAAAGCTGGCCAGCCTAGAGTCAATCTGGCCTAGAATGTTTCAAGTGCAGCACAGGTGAGTCCTAGCAATTACATATACCATCTTCAGGGATCTCTTTGCCTAATACATCATCAAGCATTTTCTGAACTCTGCACTTCTGATCCTTAAGATTCCCCTGAAAGTTTGATTTAATTTGAAAAATAGCATAGTCAAGGAAACCCGCAAAAAGTTGCTGTATAAGTATAAACAAAAAAAAAATCAGGGTAGAATGTTGTGGTGAAGTCCAGGGTTGATTGTAGAAATTAAACACAGACCTTTTCATTTTTAAAAATGTTCTATATGTGTGTGTTAGTTTAGGAGGGATAGAATCATGACAACCACTCTCAGACATAGTTGGTGAAGAACCCACAGGGAGGGCCAGTGAGTTTGCACTTTGCTTCGCACATGACAAGAGTCTGTCAGGATTTCACACTGGGCTCCATGCTGGGTCCTCCCAAACTCTTTAAATATCTGGGTTCTGGGATTGGCAACTCCCTGTTATTCACTTATGTCCCAGATGCAGGGGACCTGCCCAAAAGAACCTACATCCTACCCAATCACTGACAAACGAGACCGGATATTTTACCCTGAGGAAGCAACCCATCAGGGCTGTTCCAGGCTAGGGAGAGGGCAGGGACAGCACAGAAGCTTTTGTGATGGGTGCTACAAGCAAGTTCAAGAAAACCCCTTTACTGCGGGAGAAGGGCCTCCCCAATGTAGGATGAGTCAAATTCCACCAGCTTCATCCGGACTATATTGTATTTGGATAATAATCCTGAAATGTACACTGATGCTGAAGAAGTCGCTCCTTCAAAACTTTAAGGCAACAATTAAGTATTCCATTGTCATGGCTCAATTAAATGGTTTGGCCTGAGAAAATTGGGGATTGTAAAGTGAGGATGGAATGTGCTTTGATCCTCTTTCCAGGGTTATTGTTTCATTAATAAATGAACATGTCATTTGTCTCACCAGAGGGAGCTCATGCCCTCCAGGCTTTTTTCCCTTTTTTGTTCAGGTTTTATAAAGATGAATTTCCAGTGCTCTGAAATACCATGGATTAGTAGTTAAGCCTGACAGCACTTCGGGGAGTAGCGAGCTTAAAGTGCCTCACACAGGTCTCCAAAGCACTTGTTTACTAATAGAGGAAAGCAGCCACCGTCTGCAGCTGCTGATATCGTATTACCATTTGGAAAGACAGTAGCTGAGATAACAAATCACACAGTTTTAATAATTACTCCTGCATTCCCCGTTTTTTTGTTTCCTGCATAACTGTAAAGGCTGGATGTCTTCCAAATAAACAGATAAAAACAGTATGAAACTTTTATCTTTTAATGATAATGACAACACATCATGTTTCACTAAAAGTTTCCTGCTGAATTTTTTCTGATTTCTAGAGTTTCAATAAAATGTAATTATACTTTATAATTCCACTCTTTTAATCTTCACTTCAAAAACTCTTCACGGTGAGCAAGTTTGCCAGGCACCAAGAGTAGGGGCCAATCTGCCTGGACTCACCCATGTTGACTCGCCCCTCCTGCATTCTGTCTTGGGGTAAACCTGTCATTGAAATTGCATCCTGTACTTTGAGCTGCTTTGCATTCAAATTAATAGCTAGTTTAATTTGAATGTAAAATAGCTCCATTTATGCCATCATTTAAACAAAAAAAGAAGTAAGGTATTTAGCAATGAATGGGTATTTAAGATATGATACATTTGCAACATATTTTTAATCCTAAATTGAACCTATATTACGATGGAGACATTTTAATATCAATAGGTAAGTCATAAAAGAAGCCCTTTTAAAAATCTGCATAGTAAATATGTGGTTTAGGGGTCAAAACTACTCCATTGTACAGATACAGTACAGGGTTTAGTTCGTATGGCTGGGCGCTGGGCATTTTCCAGCAAATCTGTGTATTGTTACATTTCTATAGTCCGAGAATGGCAATTGATTTTTAAAACACATGCTGCAACTTTATTTGCTCAGTAATTACATGGACTTTATTTGGAGGTCAGTGAAAGAACAACTAAATAGGAAAATGAAGTCTTCCTCCCTTGTGCAATGAAACCATAAAAGTTGGCAGACAGAAAGGAATGCTAAACTTTTTCCCAGAGCCCTGAGTTTGGTTTCCACTAGTCCCTGTTTCGTTGGGTGATTAAAGAAAGCTTTTTTAAAGCCTTACTTCAGAATGATCTTAATTGGTGCAAGGTTGAGCCCTTTCTATGAGAGGAGGGAAAAGGTTGAATAGCCTTTTCAAGTCACATGAAAGTTTCTAGGATGAATGTACGATAATTAGATTAATAAGTAGCTTAATTTATCACAGCTGAGGATTTCAACAGCCACACATTAGAGCAAGAAAAAAAGATTAGTGTGATTCTAGTTTGTAAAAAAAAAAAAAAAAAAAAATTGTACTGAAACTTGATTAACCTTAAACACAAAGTGCCTTTCTTCCTCAGTCTAAATGTCTGTTCTGGGAGGGGATGTAGAGTGGGGAACTGGGGGAGAGGACCTGAAATAACCAGAAGCGTCCCGTTTCATTCCTTTCTGTCTCCCAGTTAATGAGCGGTATCAGGTCTGCTTGAACTAACCTCTCCTTTTACTGTTTCTTAAAAAGATTGGGAATATACCTGTAGAATCTTAAATTATATTACCCACCCACATCATAGAGATACAATATGTCATAAGCAGATTCTGATACGCCATTTGTCATAAGCAGATTCTCTGTTGAAAAATAGAAAGAAGTAATGTAGTTGGGAGGAGGATGGGCTTTGGAGGAGACCATAATTCCAGTTAGTATGTGGTGGGAATACTGAGGCTTAGATTGTTGGATGATATTTCCAAGAGTTATTTCAGGGTTTTTAAGCCTGAATTTAGTCCCATGCTTTCAAAAATCATAGGTTATCCAAACATGGGGCAGCAATGAGTTTAGAAAAGCAGAATTCATTGATAAAACATGCTAAATCAAGACTTATTATAAAAGCAATAATTGACTTAACAGGGTTAAAAATCAGATGGGAACTGGTACTCAAAATCAATATGCATCAAAGCAAATTATTGTCCATCGGGAATCTTTTTCTCTGTCTCTTCCCTATATGCACAATAAACTATTTTGACAAAAAGTGCGAGCTGCTGGAACATCTGATGGTCATATCCAAATGGGGTGAGCTAACATTAGATTCAATTAAACTTAAATTTCCTGACTCCAGTCTGGCTACAAACGAAACTTCAGCACTATGTGGAACAAAGCTGCTGGCATGAACATGGGTTTTGCAATGGAAGACCTGGAGTGTGAATGTACAGTACATGTCAACACTTAATCATCATAGTGATTGGGAGGCAGGCTAATGAGAACCCAGCAGTGGAGCGGGGTTTGGGGCGTTGCCCTGTGGCTGCCTGAGAAAGGTGTGTGTCTGGATGTGGGTAGCAGTTGTGACAGCCTCCAAGGGAAGGGAAAAATACAAAGCTAAAACGCCAGACAACCTCAGTGACAGAACTATCTCTACCACAACAAAAGTTGCTGTACCTTTCTTGTCAGTCTCTGAAGCTTACATAGAGGCGCTCTGAAAAATGTGTGGGTGTGGTCTGTGCATATGGCCCCAGCTAACATATTCAGAAGTTACCTGCGGCCCAGTCAGATCTGCTAGGGCAATGTCAAGGGCACTCATGCACCAGTCTGTGTGAGAAGTTCCATAACTGGAGCCAGAGCCTGGGATGAGCTCATTTCCACTGTGGGTGTCTTCTCTCAGAGCATGAGTCTTCTCTTCCGCTGGGGTGAAAGAGAAGTTTTAATTTTTTTTTAAGTCAGATGATGAAAAACGACATCACATTATGGATGGAATATAGTTTAAAATATTAAAATTTAAACCACTGATGTACTTATGGACTCAATAAACCTGGAAAAATAAGGCACAGTTCAGTCAGCAGCCCAAGCCTGAAAAAGCGTGCTTATATCTAAAATGGGTATCTCATTACTGGTTAACATTATTTAGTTATGAGGAGATACGACCTCTAATTTGCCTTTAAATGATTAATTTGGTGTTTAAATAAGTGTCTTTTATTTAATAATGTTTTCTTCAGCCAATTCACTTATGTCAATAAACTCTTTGTTTAACCTTCTTAAAGGAAACATTTTCTCCGCTCAGAGCAAATTAATAAGCTACCAAATAAACAGGTACAGGAAAATGAACTAAAATTAAGAGCTGCCCAGGACAGCAAATGTGCTTTCATCTATGGAGTGGGTACTATATGTTACTGTCAACTATGACACAGGAAGTGTATCAGCTCAGTCCTCATCTGCCATCAGTTTCCCTTCTGTCATAGGTCATGGCAGAAATAGGTCACATTGTAGAACCTGCCTGGATGGGAACACCCCACAGAGCAATTTTCTCTTGATCTCTGGTTCTTTAAGTTTGGTAAAAACAATTATAAATTGGGGATGGGTTGCAATTCTTTTAATGAGAAATTAAGGAAAACTTGAAAATATATGCAATAGTAATGTAAAATAATAATATCAATAATATCAACATTACTCTCAGGGTATCAAATAGTATCTTTTGCAGACTTAGGGACATATAAGTGTATTATGGATAACTATCATTTTTCATGTAATTTATTTTAAAATATAGCTTTTCTAGATAGCTATGTATGGGATTAGAATGCACTTTGCTTTTTTAAGTTATTAATACAGTTAAAAACTGTCAAATTTTGTTTATCTTTCTATAGTATGTAAAACAATTCTTTAAAAAATTGACCAGTAGTCACAATATTTCAACATTATTAAAAAATTTAGACTTTTTTCTAATAGGAGTAAATGAGTCACCAAAATTTGCTCATTCTCAGAAGAGAAGCACACTGAGTGTGGCAGCAGCCGCCCGCCATCCCCTAATAATTACGCCCGTTTTTCCAAAGTTATAGACTTTTGTCCCAGAGCACACAGCCACCAACAATATGGATGACATTTATAAGCCTCCTAATAACTGCTGGCTGCAGCCTTGAGACTCAGCTTTGGCCAAAGTCGGGAGAACAGAAGCGATGTGTGCGACCTCCTCAGGAGCAGATCTCCCTCTTCCCCTTTCCCTCTTCAAATCAAAACATAAAGAGCCATTAATGACTTCCTGGAACAGAGCTGCATCTCAGCTCAACGTTCATGTGAGATAGAAATAAGCATCTGTCTTGTTTAAGTCCCTGTGTTTTCAGCTAAACCTATATCCTAACTAATATGCTGACTAAAAATAGACACAAAACAAATTCAAACCTATATACATGTGCCACATTAAACTCGTTAATATGTTTCTCTTTATCTATCTATCATCTATCTACAAATAGGAGCAGTTTCTGCTTTTTCACTCTCCTTTAAAATGTAATTTTGATTGAGAATCATTCAAAACCTTTTGGATGGCTCCCAATTGCCTTCTGAATTAAGCACAATCCCTCTCTCTAGACATGTTTTCCAGCCTCAGCTACACACAACACCCTCTACACACACCTCCCTAACTTCTCTGGTCGTACCAGAGTTGCACTTTTGGGGGCCTTGCCTGCCCTTTCTCTCTGCCTATACAAGTCTTACCCACCATGTTATTAAAGAAACAAAGAGCTATATAAAAAAATCAGGGGCTTTGGAGTCAAATGGGCCTGATCAAAAGCCATGGGGTCCCCCCATATAACAACCTCTGACTTTCCCTCATAGCACTTCTCACAGCTCGTTATTGCACATTTGATCACTATCTGCCTCCCCTACTGGACCATAAGCTCCACGTGAGCAGGCATGAGTCTATTTGCCCCACCATTTTATCTCCAGGAATAGCTCCTGGCAATTGGTAGACAGATAACAAGTATTTTTGTGTGAATGAATTAATGTCCCTGAATCTATTTTCTCACTTATTAAATGAGACCGATAATATATAGCTCACAGGGTTGTTGCTAGAAATAAATGGGAAAAATAAAATAAAATAAGGTGTGTCAAATGACTGGCACATAGTACATACTTAATAGATGGGAGGCAAAGTTGCACAGTGATTCACAGCACAAACTTTGGAATTAGATCCACCTGCGTATGGCTTTAGCCAGATGCTTCTTATTGCATGATATTGGGCAACCTATTTATCTTTCCTAGCCTTCCATTTCTTCCTCCATAACGCTGATATAATAAAATTTGCCTGGCATTATTGTTTAATGGATTCCATTTGATCATTTCTGTGCTTACCGCAGTGTGTGTTACCTGATAGGCATTCAGTGATGGTATCTATTGCTATATGTCACTCACCTAATTGTTCATTTACATGTTCAGCAGGTTTTTATGGACTCCATACTATGTACCAGGCACTAGGCTATGTGCTGGGAATTCAATGGGAAACAAATCAGAGTGGACCAAGGGGGCCCACCTCACGAAAACTACAGCCTAGGGAGGTAGACCGTTAAATGAGTAAACATGCCAATACATATATAACTATGGATTGTGAATAACTGCTAAGAAAGGAAAGGAGAGTGCTATGAGAAGGCGCAACAAAGGGCAGCGATTTACAGAAGTATCTATTCTTCAGCTCAAATGACAACAGTTCTGTGAACCCTGTTTTGTCCCTTCCTATTCTCTCCCAATTATATGGCCTTTCTTCTTCATTCAAACCCATATTATACCTTTATTAGGACATTTGCTTTACTTTTTCACTTGTTTATTTTTTATTTAGTCTGCGGTTAGCCCTTGTCTAGTCTTTGCCATCTGGACTATAAACTTCTTGAAGGTAAGGTCTATGTCTTACCTTCTCTGTTGTGCCTGAAGGATTCTGGCATAAACTAAGGGCTTCAGGAATATTTGTAGACTAGAAATAAATTTTCCTCTCTTATTTGATTTCTGAATATGAAAAATTTACCCTAGTTCAAATGACTCTCTCTAAACTTCACAGTAGGCTATTTCTTTAGTCAGTGAATTGTTATACATCAATTTCTTGCACATGTTATAGATGAATAAATAAGAAGCAAGTAACAGTTATCAGAATTTTAATCATAACAAAATTTTTTTTAAAAGCCTTAACATGTTGTGGCAAGAGGCATATTCTTGGAAGAATCCCAGACTGAAATCCCTTGACCAACATCTGAAAATATTTTCTGTGTTTTTTGCGAAATTTAAAGTATGTTCCCAATATAAAATTCTGCTGCTTCTACTGCTTGCCCCATTATCTTCTCAAAAAGAATAGTCATCATTACTTATAACAGAAAGCATCCTAATGGTTCTTTCTGAGAGCATAATCCCTTTACTGAAAGTATTTAAATATAGAGGTTGAAAAGGGCCGGCTGAGTGGCTCAGTTGGTTAAGAGCTCGCTCAAGAGTTTGAGCTCTGAGCAACAGTGGTTCGAGTCAGCCCGAGCTGAGCAGCCGTGANTCTGAGCAACAGTGGTTCGAGTCAGCCCGAGCTGAGCAGCCGTGAGCTGCCAACAGGTGGCGGGATGGCTCAGCTAAAAAAAAAAAAAAAAAGAAACCTAAATATAGAGGTTGAAAGTAAATAATATAGTAAAGAAAATGAATAGGCTCATATAACTGGAAAATCCAGAGATAGGGATGTTTTAGATAAGGCTTGATCAAATGCCTCAAGGATAACAAAAAGACCTGGGGTTCTTTCCATCTCTCCTTGTCAGCTTCATCCGAAGGCTAGCTCCATTTCTAGTCCCAAGATGGCTCCTCACAGCTTCTGGGGCCATATGCTTTTGTATGTGTTTCAGAGAAAATAACTTTGTTCCAAACCCCCTATAATCACTGGGTGACCTGCTCAGTTCATGTGCTAACACTGGCTACAATTGCTGCAGTTCAAAAGGATAAAATGTGATAACTGGCTTGGCACATTCTATCCCTACTAAGAGGCAAGGGAGGTCAGCTTCCAAAAAATCACATCATGGATCCCAAAAGGACACTGGGGACTGTTGGGAAGGGAAAAGGGGGAAAGTTGGTGCTGTCAAGGCATCTAACAGACATTGACTGTATAAGGCCCTGGTCGGCCTTGGTGTGCGAAGCCTGCTCCTCAGGAGGATAAGACCACTCATTCATATCATTACGAGGAAAAGGAAAAGACATGGACTTCTTCCCTTTCTTCTGAAAATGGCATCACACTCTGAAAATAAAATGAGCTTTGCTTCTAAATTTGTTCTGCTCAGGGGAAAGTGTTATGGTCGAATATAGTCAGCACTTTTAAATAAAATTATTCCAAATTTTTGAAATCATTACGGATAAGTGAGGGCCAAGTAACAATATATACTCTATCTTAAGTATTAAATTTCCTAGGAGAAATGTTGATATTTTACGTCATTTTCAAGGAAAAGTAAGTTGAGAGAACTTTAGTGGGAAGGTTTTCATTTGTCTCCACTTATTTTGATCAAGCAAAAGCTGCTAGGAAACCTACTGGATTATCTTTCCCTCTTTTTCCTCTTCTTCTGTCTCCCCATTGCACGCCCATCCATCTCTCTCTCTCTCTCTCTCTGTCTCTCTCTCTGTCTCTCTCTCTCTCTCTCTCTCTCTCTCTCTCT